CTGGGATGGGGGTGGGGGTCACAGGGGCGCCTGGGTCCCTGGGGTGGCAGAGATGCTGGGGGGATAGGGGGGACATGTCTGGGTTCCTAGGGCAGATGGGGGTGGGGGCTACGCTTGGGTCCAGGGGTGTGTGAAGGGGCACAGGGGATGCCTGGGATGGGGGTGGGGGTCACAGGTGAGTCTGGGTCCCTGGGGTACAAGAGATGCTGGAGGGACATGCCTGGGTCCCTGGGACTACGCCTGGGTCCGGGGGGGTGTGAAGGGGGACGGTGACGCCTGGGTCCCCAGGAGGGGCACAGGGGTCGCGGGACGCCGGGGGCCGAAGGAGGCGAACCAGTGCGAGACTCACCTGGCAGCTTCCAAGAGATGGATGAGAAAGAGGAAATGGAAGAAAAGTCCATAGCGGGGGCTTCTGGGAAATGTAGTCCGAGGAGCAGAAGAGGCTTCTGCGCATGCCCGGGAGCAAACTCGCCTCCGCCCCAGGAGGGGGATATTGACACGCCTCTGGCTCTGTGTCTCAGATACACTTGGGTTGGATAAAGAGCCGTATCGAAGGTGAGGGGGGCAGCTAGTCTAAAAGATCTGGGGGTCGCAGTGGCCCCTCTGTACCCTCCCCATATGACCTCATCTGGAGAACCGTCCTCGGTTCTGGACAGGTACAGGGGCAGCGTAGGAGACCTGGGGTTCAAATCCACCCTTTCCCCCAAAGTTTCCTACCTGCGTGACCTTGGATCACTCTCTGGCCCCCAGTTTCCTCGTCTATAAAATGAGAACCTTGGGAAGGGACTGGGGGTCGCAGGGACGTCTGGGTGAGGGGAATGAGAAGGACAAGGGATGCCTGGGTTCCTGGGGGGATACCTTAAACTAGGGTAGCCTCTGTGTTCTGCTCCAGTCCTGTGAGCACAGCAGGAGAGCAGCCGGGGTGGGAAGCACCTCTGGTCCCTGGCACGTGGGGCTGGGGGCGTGAGGCCTGGAGAAAGGACTGGTGGGGGGCCTCACTGCTCGGCAAACAAAGGTTTCTTCTTAAAACATAGGTCTCACCATGTCACCCTCTACTCCATAAACTCCAGTGACTCCCTATCACCTCCAAGATCGAATATAAAATCCTAGATCAATGAACTAATGCTGTAAAGTGCTCAGCACAATGCCTGGCACACAGTAGGCACTATATAAATGCTGATTCCCTTCGCTTCCTGCTTTTGGGCATTTGAAGCCCTTGGAAGCCTGGCCCTGACCTACCTTCCCAGTCTTCTTATACAGCATTTCTTTGTACGAATTATGCTGCCCTGGGACCCAGACCTCTTCCGGTTCCTGGCAGAAGACCCTCTGTAAGCCCATCCTTGCTGGCTGTGCCTCAGGCCCCGAATGCTCTCCCTTCCGATCTCCCCCTCCTAGCTCTCCTGGTTTCTTCCTCCAACAACTAAAACCACACCTTCTTCAAGAATGGTACTTCATGCTCCTCCCTGCCCTCTGAGACTGCCTTCAGTCTACCCCATATCTATCTTGTAGATTCACCTGTTTGCAGGACTCCCCCCTTAGACTGTGAGCTCCCCTCCTTTAAGGCAGGGACCGTTCTTTGTCCTTCTCTGTGTCCTCAGTGTTCAGTTTGAGGCCTGACACACAGCAGGTGCCTCATAAGTGTTCGGTGACTAAGTCAGGTCACCATGGCTGTCTTCAAGGAGCTGAGTTATTGCCATGGGAAAGAAGGATCAGTTTGCTTTTGTTTCCCAGTAGGCAAAACCAGCAATAATTGGGGGAGATGCTGAGGCGAATTTAAGATGGTGTCAGTAAAGGAATAAGCATTTATTAAGTACCTGCTACGTACCAGGCACTGTGCGAAGTACTTTACAAATATCTCATTTGATCGGCATAACCCTGGGATGTAGGTACTATTATTACCCCCGCTTTACAGTTGAAGAAACTGAGGCAAACAGGGTAAGTGACTTGTCCAGGGTCCTACAGCTAGTGTCTGACTCTTCGTGACCCCATTTGGGGTTTCCTTGGCAAAGATGCTGGAGTGGTTTGCCATTTCCTTCTCCAGCCCATTTTACAGATGAGGAACCAAGGCAAAACAAGGTGAAGTGACTTGCTCAGGGTCACACAGCTAGTAAATGTCTGAGGTTGGATTTGAACTCATGAAGAAGCCTTCCTGACTTCAGGCCCAGCATTCTATACAGCATGCCACATAGCTGCCTCCAGAGACCGAGTGAGAGACAGACAAAGAAGGAGAGAAAGAGAGATAGGGAGCCCAGAGCTCTCCCTTTCCTCTCTACTCCCTCTCCACCATCTCATCAGCCCCCAAGGGTTCCACAATCAGGTCCACGCAGGTAACTCCCAGACCTCTGGCTCCAGCCCCACATGGCCCCGGCTGGTGGCCGCAGCTGCCAGGACGTCCCATCGGCGTCTCAGGCTCAACATGTCCAAGCCGGCACTGGCTGTTCCCCATCATCTAACACTGCTTCTGCAGGGGGCACTGCCAGACATTCACACTTCAGTGCTGGAAGGCTTGGACTCTTCCCTCTCCCTCCCCTCTCCATCCAGCAAACTGCCGGCCCTCTCTGATCCTGTCTCTGACACATCTGCTCCCTCCATCTCCCCTCTGCACTCCCATCGCAGCCCCTCTCATTCAGGCCTCCTGATCGCGTGTCTCAGTGATGGAGGGGCCTCTGATCAGCCCCTCGGGTCTCTGTTCCCCACCCAGCTGCCAAGCCGACATGCCTAAAGTAAAGGTTTGCATTATTCTACTCCAGAAGCACCATGGGCTCCCTGTGATAGGCAGGGATGGGGAAGGGGAGTAAGCAGGTAAGTGCCTGCTATGTGCCAGGTGCTGCGCCAAGCGTTGGTGGAAATACGATGTCATTTGATCCCCACAGGATCCCTGGGAGGGGATGCTGTTATTATCCCCATTCTTAGAGTCTCCTCTAGGTCGTGACTGTTGAATTGAAGCTCAAAGGGACCTGAAGTTACAGGTGAGGAGGGACAGCCTTCCAGGTGTGGGGGACAGGCTTCACAGATGGCATTCTGCCCACAAGGAATGGCACGGAGGCAGGGAGCCCAGGGCGCGGGGCTTCATGAGCTCATCAGCCTAGAAAGGCAGCTGAGATCGGGTGGTGATGGGCTCAAGTACAAGCAGAATCTGGAATTTAGCCCAGATGTCATCGGAAGCCCCTGCAGCTTCTGGGCAGGACAGCAACATGCTCAGATGTGTGCTGCAGGGCCATCAGCTCGGCACTGTGGGAAGGAGGATCGGAGGGAGGAGAGGCCGGATCCCATGAGGCCAATCAGGCCGCTGCTGGACGAGGCTAGCGCTGATGAGGGGCTGCATGCGGGCCCACTCGGTATGAAGAGGAAGAACTGTGGTCCAGACTGGCGTGTCTCCAGGGGTGGTCCCTGGGCGAGAGGTCCTTGGCGTCAAAACTCTTTTCATACTAATACTGAGACGTTTTCATTTATCGTGTAGGAAATATGGATAGACACAACCCACATACACCAGAGCTCTTGGGGGGGGTCCTCAGTAACTTATAAGAGTGTAAAGGGGTCCAGAGACCCCAAAGTCTAAGACTTGCTGGCAGACATGTAGTTGGATGGACAAGCTGGAGTGCTTATCCATCAGGATATATCTTGGACAAACACCACAAATAGGCTGGACTGCTTCTGTGGAACTGTGTGCTCTTTTAATGACCCCGGGATTCTCCAGGAAACACCCACCTTTTTATGCCAATATTCTTAAGACAGCTAGGTGGTGCAGTGCATAGTGCAGGGTCTGAAGTTGGAAAGCCCTGAGTTCCAATCCAGCTTTAAACACTTTTGTGTGATCCTGAGAAAGCTACTTAACCTCTCTGCTTCAGTTTGCTCACCTGTAAAATGAGGTTAATAACAGCACCTCCCTCCCAGGGTTCTGTGAGAATCAAATGCAATTCTATACTAATGGAACTCTGCAAACCTTGAGGGTGCCACATAAAGGCCACCCCCAGTCATCATCAATCACCAGCCTGCTGATGTCTGGCTGCAAGTGACGGAACATGACCCAGCATCACGGAGCAGCTGCTCATGCAAAGAATGGACTTCAGAAAACAGAGCCTTAAGGAATGCACAGCGGTTAAGATGACGGGGCTGAGAAAGGGTTTTGAATTTCTAGGTCATGGCTTAAAACACAGGCACAAAAGGAACCTGGCCATGGCTACAGTGGACTTTAAAAAGGGCCCCGGTAACAACTTGTGGGCCTGAAGCCTTGACAGTTGAGGCCAAAGTGAAGAGGGAGGGGAGGACTGCCTAAGTAGAGTGGCTAGGCCAGAGACCATGGGAGGGTCACTCCAGGGCAGGAAGAAGGAAGAGATCATAGGAGTGAAAAATCCCAGAGAGAAGTCAGAAGTCACAGACACAGCCTCAGATGTGTGCGCACACATGTGTATGTGTGTGTGTGTGTGTGGGTATCTATGTGTGTGTATCTATGCATGCCTATGTATATAAGTGTATGTTTTATGTATATATATGTATATATATATATGTGTATGTGTATACACACACACACACAAAGACACAAATGCAAAAAGTATGGCTAATAATGAACATCAATTATAGAGCCTAAATTGAGTAGAGAAATTTGACCTCACAGGTCACTACGCTTGATAAGACCCATGACTGAAATATGGCTCTAGCTGTCCAAAAGAAACATGATAGAAAAGGGGTGTGTGTGTGTGTGTGTCCCGTGCCTTAGGAAACAGCACTGAATATTCCAAAGGCCCTCTCCCACAGGGAAATCTGGTGAGCATAGGGTGGGAGAGTATTTGGGTGAAGGCTAATGCAGGCAGAAACAGAGGGAAATTGTCACTGAAATATAAACTTGATACCATTTGGGCAGAAATAGACAATCAAAGAGTATGAGAAAGAACCACAAGCCTGGATGAAAGTACAGCAGTGATGGCAGCCTTCTGTCTGGACACCTGCTTTAGCAGCCGTGCCAAGGGCAGAGCTGTTAACGTTTTCTTGACTTGCCTGGATGATAATTTCCATTAAGGTAGAGGAATCAACTTGGGAAAGTGCTCATTTTTTCCCCTACTTGATTCTCACCAAAAAGAACAAACTGCTAGCTGGGGTAGAAATGATGGGGACCCTGGGAGATAAGCCTATGTCCAGATTTTAGAATCTGTGACAGAGAAGAGGACAAGTGAATTAGCGTGAATGCACCCCAGCATCTGGACAAACGATCCCCAGCAGACCTTCACAGAGTTTAGAGAAGAGAGGCAGGAGACAAAGACCTTAAATTCTGTGGGGGAAGTCAGCCCATAAGGGATGGGAAATTCTTAGGAATGAAAGAGAAACAATGTTACTGTGATGTTCAAAAAAGGGAAGAAAGTGCAAATGATAGGAGAGCGA